AACCAGGTTTGGATTTTGATTTGATCACTTACTAGGTAAGTAGAATTACTTTGACATACTTACACTGAAAACATTTTTGCTTATCTGAAATTCAAATTTAAATGAATATGTTTTATTTTTTTGGTGGAACCGGGGATTGAACTCAGGCCCTTGTGCTTGACAAGGAAGCACTTATACCACTGAGCCATTTCCCTGGCCCCTGTTTTATTTTATTTAGTGACATGTGTGATAACATTTCTTCTTTTGTAAAACAGGGGCAATAATATTAAATTAAAAAAGATGAAGATAACATAAGTTATGTTAAGCTTTATATAAAATAATTTCTGGGAAATGTATATAATTTACTTTCTCCTTTCCTACCCTTGCTATATCTATAATGTAAAAGGGCTGGCTTACCAATCTCATTGTTATAAGATTCACACCAATTTTGAGTGAATACTTATTTCATAGATGTGCTGAACTGCTGCTTATTATGCTAACAGTAATATCTATGTAAAATGATTTAACTAAAGATGAAATGCACAAAGCAATAGACTGGAACATGGGATATGGGGGAGTGTTGTAAACCATTCATGCAATGATATCTCTATTCCTGAGTTAAGGGATTTAAAAGGTTATATATTTCAGCCCACTTGACTTCACCTAGGTATGCTTTCCCACACTACTCTAAGTGCTCTTTCTTATTAAACCTGTGTGATGTGTCAGGCATATATCTAGGTCTTAATTTTAAACAACTTAGTTTCCCGTTCCAACAGCATATCTCCATCTGCAGGACTTCTTTACTACAGCTCGTAATGACCCCTTTCTGCTCAAGGGAAATAGAGCAACAAACTTTTCTTTAATGCTATTTCTCATATATTTATTATACCAGATCCAGTGGGACAAGATTAGAGTTATGTCCCTTCCAAAACCATGTAAACTTGCTGGTCAACCACTCAGAAATGGGCACAAAATTGGTATGCTTCCATTTTATTTATTTATTTTTTGGTTCAAAGTCTTTATCTCTAGAGATGCTTCGTAACCAGCAGGTTGAGAACATGTGGAGAGCATCAATAGGTCTAGTTTCACATGGAGTATGAAGCACATCCTCATATAGTAGCTCCTTCATATTTTTCTTTCCATTTTCTTTACTTTTTCCTCTAGAAGTTTCTAGAGTGGCAGTATACCACTAAGATTCAGCATTGCTTCTTTAAATTTAGAAACTCAGAATATTTTTGGCTTCAGAGGTAGACTGAGGAATGCCATGGCTATACTGTGCTTTCTCCCACAAGGTCCCTTATAGAAGGATCTGCTTGCATCTCTGGAGCCAGTGGTACTACATTAATAATTTCACACTGAGTTTGGGATGTAGAAACATCATTCTTCCTGTGACAGGCAGTGTTGTAAGGGATAGCACAAAATACAAGATCTGAGGGCAGCAGCTTAAACTCATTGGCTGGCCGGGTAATCACAAACCTGTAAGAAAAGCCAAAGATACAGATGGGACACTATTGCACCAGGCAATGCCCCAAACACAGACATCACTTTGCTAGGCTGTGAAAGGAAAGGCTACTGGTTTGCATCATTGATCTCTCATTAAGAGTGAAGATCTGTGGGACTCTGCAATGGGAGGAATTTTAAAGTGGGAATTAGGATCTTGGTATTCATCCTTGCCTCTGACACCAGTCACCTCTTCCTTTGGCATGATAGCTCACTTCTCTAGGCCTTGCTATTCTCATGGTTTTAATAAGAGCAGGACAAAAGTGTGGTTTGGATGGGTTGATCTTTTATGGGCTTTCTGACTCCTGATTTATCTGCTTTTCATATGCATTACACAAATGAGTGCAACTGGCACAACACTGAACACTTAACCAAACATTATCAAACCTGAAAATGACAAGCATTCCAGACATTGCAGCTTGGCTTAGGCCTGCCTTAACCTGATGCTTGCACCACCCACTCTCACAAAGAGTGTAGCCTGGCCAATGAAGAAAAACACTTTAAAAAAACATTGAAGTCCTATTTAAGCAAATACATAATGTCAATGAATCTTAAAGAACAGTCATAGCCTGTACCTACATAGTTTGTAGCAAAGCAAGGCACTTGACCATGATGTTAGGAAAACAGCAAATCTTCAACTAATATAAAGGGGCTAGGGAGATAGCTCAGTACAGTAAGTGCTTGCCTGGCAAGCACAAGGGCCTGAGTTCAATCCCCGGTTCTGCAAAAATAAAATAAAATAAAATAAATAAATAGACTTCTATGTTCAACTAATATGAGTTAAGCCAATTAATAACAAGTGTTCCTGCCATAGGAGAACCTGTACTGTAACATCATGTAACTCAGTTGTGTCCCAAATTTTCTGATCAAGGAGATTATGGGGCCACAGAGGAAAGTGATTGATGATGTAGAGTTTGCTTAAGGAGTCACATGGAAAGAAAACATTCTCTCAGGCTTTCACAGAGAGCAAATTGGTAAAGCAATGGCCATGACTCATCCACATGGCTAACACTCACAAATTGCGGTACAGGGTTCAGGATAAATCTTGAGGGGATTTGACTGACCTTATCAGATACAAAAGTTACATTACTTGTTGTATGGGTGTTGCTTTGTTTTGGTCTTGACCATTCAGCAGAGAAATATGTGAATGGAGGATAGAGGGTAAAGCCATACTGATATGCTGAGCTGTAGAGGGCTCAAGTCAACAGCTTCTTTTTCTTTCTTTCTTTTTTTTTTTTTTTTGGCAAAACTGGGGATTGGACTCAGGCCCTGGTGCTTGCCAGGCAAGCATTTATTCCACTGAGCCATCTCCCTGGCCAAGTCAACAACTTCTGCTATTGCCAGTCTTAAGGAAAACCCACTACTATTATAGACTACTGAACTATATTGGAATATTTTGATGAATTCAGGCACCTACAATAGTTACATGAGAATAGAATACCCTTCTCTGACAAAACTAACCAAAAAAGGGGAATACAAATGAACGATCATTTTGCATCTGTATGTTCAAAACAGTTAAAATAGATACACAGCTGAGTTCTGGATCACCGAATAGAGAAATTTATTCTAATAGTGTTTGTGGACAGGATATCATATCTGCATCTTGTACAATGAATAACCACTAAGACAACAATATGCAATGTATTAATTAGTGAAACTGTGCTAATAATTGGTTTTGAAAATATCTCATTGCTATTTGTTTCTCAATAAAATTAGAAAGCAAAACAAACAAACAAAACAAAAATAAGTGTTCCTGTCAGGGCACAGAGGCAGATAACCTTTTGTGACCTTCATCCTGTGTTTTAATAGTTCCTTGTCCTGTCCTACACAAGGATCCTAATGCATGATTTATCTTCCTTCAGCGAATAATCTGCCCATCATTGCATTTCCACTGAGTCCTCTAAAACTCCTACTCTGTCTAACTAGGATCTACCATAATCATGTATTCCTTTTAAACCAGAACTCCCATTTCTTTCCTTCTGGCCTGGTAAGTATACACTGTGTGTTTTCTGAATTACTATGTTATACAAGTTTTTGTAGAGGTGTTGGGGACAGGATTGGGATTCAGAAAGAGAAAGAGAAAGAGAAAGAAAAAAGGGAGAGGGAGAAGGAGAGAGAGAGAGAGAGAGAGAGAGAGAGAGAGAGAGAGAGAGAGAGAGAGAGAGAGAATGTCAGCACCATTTACTTTTCCCAGCATACAAAGCATCACTCCTCCCCATCAGTCTCTGTCCTGAACTCTGTAAAGCTACATAACCCCCTCCCTACTGATTCAACAGTGCACTCTGTTCATCCCATTTTTGTTCAGGTCTTGGCACTTGAGGTATACTTTCTTTACAGCTGCAGTACTACCATCAGCTTAGATGCCCGCAATGTCTGTGTGGCTTACAACACCAACATCCAGACACATTTCTGTAACTTCTCCTGTCGAAAGGTCTTCATTTCTGAGCCACTTTCATGGCGCATGCCCATTACTATATTTTCTTGATGCTTTCTCACCTCAAAAATCTTAGCCTTTAACAAACCAGCCTCCTCCCCTAGCCTCCCATCATCTCTTCTTTCTCACTCACTTAGTGTGTCTCCTCTTCTCTTTAACTGCATCCAGATTTCTAGTTCTTTTATCACTTTATGGTCTAGCATTGCTATATAAATCCACAGTTATTCTCCTTTCCCCTTTTTTTCAGCTAGTTATCTAAACTTTTACCTATTCTCATCTTCCTATACTATTTCTCCCATCTTTCTCAGCAAAGGCTATGAACTGAGAAATCTTAGTGCTAAATAAAAATCCCCATAAGGGCACTTCTCACATACAGCTACATCTACCTGCCTTAGCTTCTGTCCTTCTCCTCTTTTTCTATTGTGAGCAGATAAATTATTTTTTCCATCTATTTGGGATCACTCCACATTAAGTAAATTGGCTTCCTTCTCCTGGAATGGAGTTTGGGAACCTATTTTTTATTATTTAAAATTTCTCCATCTGTACTGATTGTTACCCATCCCCATAGTAAAGATCCTAGCTTGGACCTATACAACTGTGTTGACACCACACATAGTTCCCCTATCTTCCATGCTTCTGGAAAAAAATCTTCCTTTAATAAAACACAAATCTAAAGAACGCTTCTATGATTTATGAGTAACAAATGCAATGGCCAGAAAGCACTCAGTGAATACCATCCCAAGGACAATGCAAGTAAAGCTTTCTACAGCAGGCAGTGCTCTAATTTAAATCTGATTTAGTTTGATTTATGGGAAAACTTCATTCTCCTTATAAGGATGATATTAATTGGACCCTAACTGATCAGGTTCCTGATGTTTGCACCCATTGTTTCTTATTCTTATACATCATTAACTATCTCCCCTGGATCCTTCTAGGTCACTGGAGACCCGATGCACTGGACTTCACTTTCACAATGAGTATAGGAGCCCTGCCTCTTGTTCTGGGATGGGTTGCTAACACTGTGCAGACTAAAATACTCCCCTTTTGTGTTCTGGGTTGAGCTCCTCATCATCTATCATGCGGTACAGGCCAACACACAGGATTCCAAAAACATCTAACGAGCCACAGAACAGTTGTCCAAAGGTGTTTCTTGGCTGGGGAGAGAAAAGAAACACGTATATCTGCTGGGCACTTTAGTTAAGCAATGAAGAGCACTTACCTGAGTTGCACTTTCTATTCTTTGCAGAAATGTGGAAGACCTGAAAGTCATTTCCTAGAGTACTTACACTGGCAAGATCAAGGGGCTAGGTAACTATTGTAGTTTGTGATTGGTCTGGAAACTCTATTCTCAGTGACTGTTTTTATCACTCTGGTTCTTTCAAGCACTTCTTAACGGTGTGGTGTGGCATGTGCTTTTACTTATTATTACCGTGGATTTGGTAACCATGAAGAAAAGACAATGAGAAACTAGTTGGAAAATTCAGTTTTTTAAGTATATAATGAACTTGCATGATAAATAATTGCTTCTTTTTTTAATCAACTTCTTTCACATTAAAGCACATCACAGTCACAAGGAATCTCCTTGACCTTGCTCTTCCACTGTGGCCAACAAGGTCACAATGGATAAGTAGAAAACAGCTGGCATAGGTTAAGAAAATTCAAATGGGAGCAGTCACTTCAGTTTTATAATTCCTTGGGGATAGAGAAAAGTGAGAACAAGACAACCATAGATGGAGGAGAGAAAGGGCGAAGCTGCAACTGTTGTTGCCTCTAATACCAGCAGGTGGCCCCCAGCAACAGTTGCATGGGTCCACGTTGTTTGCACTTGGAATCAAATGCCCAGAACCCAGGACATGTTCTCTTTGGTAGCAAATGTCAAGGCTCACTATGCACAGAGGCCTGCAAGAGCCTTAGGAGGGGGTTCTACTGATGTCCTCTGATTCAGTGAAGACATTTCCTTGTCAAGTCTACTCCTAGAAATGATTCATGACAGATATCTGAAGTGTTGATCAAAACTAAACTAAAAGGTATCTGAAAACAGATAGATTACTTGTGTCCAAGTTGAACTCTACTCTGATTCCCAAATGTCCAGAGGCCCCACTGGGATTTGCCATTGTTCTTCTCTTTCATTACTGTTCACCAGCTCTCTGGGCTAAGAAAATTCAAAAACATTCCACCACTTAGCTTAGTGAGATTTTGACATCAAGTCACAGGGTTTTTCTGCCTGATGACACTGACTTGCTCAGATTTTGTCAGGATTTTAGTCACAGTGAGAGCAGGTTGACCTTGAGTCAGGCTGCCTCCACCAGATGCCTGCTTTGACACTGGTTGCTAGTGTGGTGGCCAAAGCTCATACCTGGCATATATATGTCTCAGCTTCTTGATTTGTTAAGTGGGATAAGTAATTGTGACTACTAGAAAATACTTTAGAGAGATTAAGTGAAAACTAAAGTACATGGGTGCAGATAAAATGTTCAGTAATTAGCTATTATAATTCTTACCAGTATCATTATCAAAATACAAAGTTATTAGTATCTTGGTTCATTTTATGCCACTATAGCATGATATCTGAGATCATGTAATATATAGAGAACCAAAATGTATTTCTTATGATTTGAGAAAATGGAAAGCTCCAGGTCAAGGGACTTACATCTAGTGATGGTCTTCTTGCTGTGTCACTTTTACAACATAAAGTGGAAAGGCAAGAGAGTCCACTTTTGAGATTAAAGAGAAGGAGGATGGGTTCATTTTTTTAAAATCAGAAACTCACTCTCCTTGCAATCAACACATCCCCCAGTTTTGCCTGTAATCCATTCATGCCCTGATAAGGTCATTATTTCCCAAAGGCCTTGCTTCTTAATACTGTTGCATTAGAGATTAAATTTCTAAACCATGAAGTTTAAGAGAAACATCCAAATCAAACCATCAGGCCACACACTGTATAGATTTGAGTTATTCAGATGAAAGGTAGACATGAGAAAAATGTTTTTAAGAGCCAGCTTAGGCAAGCACGGGGACTGGGGATTGATCCCTGTTACTGCATGCAGCGCCGGACCCACCCTTGGACACGCCAAGCCAGCGACCAAGTCCAGGTGTGGTGTCAAGTGCCTATAATCCCAGACCTGGGGAGGCTGAAAACAGGAGGACCACTACAAGTCTGATCTGCATGGTGAGACCCTGTACCAAATATATTTATTTTATTTATTTATTTTTTCGCGGAACTGGGGATTGAACTCAGGCCCTTGCACTTGCCAGGGAAGTGCTTATTCCACTGAGCCATCTCCCCAGCCCCAAATATATTTTTTTTTAAAAAAAGAAAAATGTTTTGTCTCCAGGAGCACAGAATGAAAATCAATTAACTATAAAAATACAATATGAATTACAAAATAAGGTGTGAATACATGATTGCATTAATTTCTTTGTCATGCTGTTGACATTATTTTTCATAGTAGATCATGTATGAGCCCCAACAGTCTGGACTGTTTTCAGAGAAAAAGCTGTTATGATAAGAATGCACTCACTGTAATGTCTGAGAGAATAGTTTGATTTAAGGACAGCAGCCCTAGCTTGCACCGCATTCTTCCAGACACAAATGTAGAGCAGCTGTCAGAAGTCCTGCAGAACTTCTCCTTATCCAAATGCTGTTCCAGCTGAGAGCTGATCCCTCCTGTCACCAGCATCTGCACTAATTCCAGGACCCGGTAGTTGTAGAAAGCCTAGAAAGTAAAGACAAGCCATATACAGTCAGAAGAGCCCACATGGACATGGTGGAAGTGGTTAGACTTAGAGACATGGTGGGTGCCCCTGTTTAAGATGGTCCCTGATGGTGCAGGCTACTGGTTCTCGTGATTATGGAGATCGACTGCAAATTGGTAGTCAGAGTAGGATGCTGGGTTAGGAGAAAACAACCAGATTTAGTTTTTCCTCTCTTGGAACACACACCACAAAAGGAGAAGAAAGTGGGTAATGAGGCTGACACCAATAATTCTCTTCTTCCACAAGTGACCAGAGGAAAATGTATGTTAGAACAGAGACATCCTAAGAAGCATAACTATATCATGTATTAAAAAATATATTATATGTATATTTTTTAAAAATAAGTATATCTTATAGCTTTGTTCTGGGGGACCACCAATGTTCTTTAGTTTTTTGGATATGAATTCTCTCAAATTTCTTTTGATTGTGATCTACTTGAGGACAGGTATTGGCTTAGGTCTTGTTAATGTTTAGACTTCTCATAACTACTATTGTGTATTTCAGAAATTATAGGTGCTGAACAAATAAATGGGATTTTTGAATCCTTGCATTGAAATTAAACTAGAGGGTAACAAGTGGACCCACTTATTCTGAAACAAGGTTGAGTGTAAATAATCCTCAGCATTTTCATGAATTCTCTTTCTTCAGAGTTCCTACCATAATTAGTGTCAACTAAGAATTAACATACATGCAAATGCCATTGCAATGTATTACCTAGTGCTTTTCCCCAACTCGGTTGCACAGATAATTTTAAGATTTCTGTCTTTTCTTTGTCTGAATTGGACATTTACTCCAATAGAAAAAAGAATATATATGTTTATATATTACCTATTAGAAAATCAGTAATTGTGTTTTATAATTAATTTTTTTTTAGTTTTCTAGACTCTTAGCATTCATTTACTCTACTCCCAAATTTAGAGGAATGTTTTCTCAATACTTGTAATTGCTCTTGTTATTATTATCTGGGGTGGCATCTTTCTGTGCTGCTCAGGCTGGCCGTGAACTGCTGGGCTCATCAGACCCTCCCACCCCAACCTCCTGAATGCTGGCATTACAGACAAGTGCACCATCCCCTCCTAGCTGAAGCGTGGGTGTAAAAGGACCTTTTAACATTTTCCTGAGTCAGTTTCTTCTCACCTGCACGTCATTGTTCAGGATGCTTCCAGACAGATCCTCCAGAATGACAAATTGGATCATTTTGTCTACTTCCTTGAACCTTAGTGGGCACCTCAGCTATGTCACTTGGCCCACAGCACTTTACATACTCTTCCAAGTTGTCATGATCGAGCACAACCCCCATTCTTAGTATCGCCCTGTAAGCCGCTCCTCGCAGTGTGCACTGATCAGTCTGCAGCTGCCTGAGTCTTTCCTTTCACTCCTCTGTGCCTTTGGTCTCACACATCTAGCTCACGCTTCACCAGCTAGTGGCTCTGCAGAGGGAAGTTCTCCTCTGTGTGATCCAATGACCGCTGGCTTTTACTCTAGTTCATTCCTCTGTATTTTATAGTTACAGGTTTGTATAAAATGTCCCTGTGCCTAAATCTTGAACTATGACTTCCTAGCTCAGTGCCTTTGGGGAGGCCATGGTGTTTATGTATATCTAAGGATGGGCTTTGTCCACTTAACACTTCTGCCTCAGTGGTGCTTTGTACAAGGCAGGTGTCTGAAAGCCGCAAGGATACTGAGTGCAGTGGGCAAGTGATCTTTAACAAATAAAAATTACTCATAAAATATGGAAGCAATTGGGGAAAGTTCGCTTAAATAATATAATTTCTATGGTTTAAGAAAAAATTAATATCACTTTTATAGCATTTGTCAGATTAGAAGATGACTTCTCCCCAGTGTCCAGACTAAAATAGACTACTGCTTATATTTCTGCTTTGTTTAAATCCCACTACACTACCAGCCAGAATGGCATTTATGGAATCAGCTTCCTGGCACAGGCAGGCAATGGCAGATAGAAATCCAGGTTGAGCCACAATCCGTTTAATAACGTGTGGCTAAAATGAGTGATCAAATATAATGCTGTTATGATAATTCTCCGCTGCTTAAAAAAGAGGTGTAACTTCTAGGGTTATCCTGGTGTTGACGGTTCTAGGGAAACATGTGCTTTACATATTTAATGGAGAGGCTTAGCTTTTGAACATATCATTTCTTCAGTTTTCACATCAAAAGAATTGTGATTTTATACTGGAGAAAATAATGAGATTTCTATATCACCCTTATTCTGTGAACTCATCTCCTTATTCTTATTTGGAGATTTCTGGCTTTGCCCTTCCTCAACCTCTATTTCATTCTTCTGTTTTACTTTGGTTTTCCTTGCTTCCCTCTCCTCTGTTCCTCTTCTTTCATTTTTATCTCCTTTTCATCTTTCCTTTCTCCTTTCTTTTTTTGTTACTCAAGAAAATCTGCACATTGAAATGTGCTTGCAATATTTTTGGGCTTCTAAACTTGGACAGTGTTTCTAATGTATATATAAAAAATTGCTAGAATTTGGACTTCTTTGTTAGAAAATCTTGCACCCAAAGTTTTTTATCATTTAGCTATGAGGAATCATAAGGTATGTCTCATAATCTGGCTAATCATATAGACACTAATATCTTTATACTCACTGCTTTTTATTCTGAGAACCTCAAAAAACTATAAGTTCAAACATCCTATGAAAGAGACCTCCACTTCAGAGTGAGGCTATGCGGTAAGAAAACCTTAAGTCAGCAGCTGAAGTATATTAAGAATATCATTAACTTTTGTGGGTCTCAGTTTCCTTAAAGTACAAGAAATGCTCCTTAAATTCGTGTGTATTTCTGATGCTCTTCTGCTGTAAAGCCATACAGAAGTGTTACATATGGATCTGATTGTTCTGCCATATTTTGATTTTTGTAGCATTAAACTGGTAGAAAATTAAAAGTGAACCTGAATTATATTTTATAGGCATATTTCTCCAGCTGGGGTAGGAGATTAGTTAGCATCTTGGGGGCTATTTGAAGCTCTTCTAATTTCAAATGTATCAGTTGGAGATGTGGAGGCAAAAGCCCATTAAGTTATTGGAAAATTATCATATATCAGAGGATAGATTTTTTTTTTGAAATTGTTGGACATATAGGACAAGAACTCAGTATTTCTAAAATGGCAACAAGTCCACAGCATGCTATTATAGGCTTTCCTGTCTCCTTGAGAATCGAAATTTGTTCTCCTTGGAGTTTATCAGGGGGAAATGAGAGGGAGAGGATGGAAAGGTGATGTGAGGTTTCCTGAGTATAGATTGGAAGGAAGTGAGCCCTTGAATGCTGTTATGGTTTGTGTCTAGGTGTCCTCCCAAAGCCTCACACAGTTATGGGGGGGACATCTGGAGTTTGTGATTAACTCATGATCCAAGGCTGGGATTATGGGTGTGAGTGCTACTGGGATTATGGGTGTGAGTGCTACTGGGATTATGGGTGTGAGTGCTACTGGGATTATGGGTGTGAGTGCTACTGGGACTATGGGTGTGAGTGCTACTCCTAGCCTGAATGCAACTAAGGGAGACAGGCTTCCTCTCTGTGGCCATGGTTGCTGCTACTCTTCCCATTTGCTCTCTTGTTCTTTTCCACCACCATGAAAGGTTGCTTTTTGCCACGTGTCACTCTTCCTTGGAGCCAGCTGACTATGGACTAAAACCTCCAGTTACTGTGAGCTAAATAAACGCTTCCTTTCTTCATTTTGGGTGTCACCTATTTGTCCCAGCAATGAGAGAAGAATAACTGAGACAAATGCTATGTGGGAAATAAGACTTTACCATGAATGAAGTCAACACTAGTGTTCACATCTTTGCAGAAACTACAGAAATGTGAGTCCCCTTGTCCTGAGAGAGTCTGTTCTAAAACTTCTGCTTTTAGCCTTCTCCTTTTGGTAGTATGGATATCAGCAGGAAAAACATTCTGTGCCTGCTTCTAAGCACTGGTGGGCAGCAGTACAAACAGATCTGTTGTCGCTGGAAACCAGCAGCAGGCTGGAGGAGTGGAATCCAGATGATCTCCTGTGGCTGGGAGGTAGTAGGATAAGAGGGCCACACAAAACAGCCAGCCCGGTGCTGGCTCCTACCTTCTGCATAGGACTTGGGACAAGAATTTGGAAACCAGTCTTGGAGAACAATTCACACATCTCTGGTGGGAGTATGTTCCAACTTCTAGAGGATGGTTTAAAAAATCTCAACAACAGAAATCTTTCTTCCAATGAAATCTTATGTAGGTACCTCAGAGGTGAGAGAGATAAAGTGGTGTTGCTGCAGTGAGAGGCAGGCTGGGTGGGCTTCCTTGTCTCCTTTCTGCGTATCTCCTCAGAAACATCCAAGCACTCAGAGAGCTGAATCCTTGTCAGCAAATCCTGCAAGTCACTGCACTGCAAAGATCCTAAGAATCCCAGAACTCAACTTCTGGAGTGGCAGTGGATTGTGGTAGTAAGAGCTGTCTTCAGAGTGACACAAATTTGGGTCTCAAAATTGACTTCTTACTGGTCAGCAATGTGCCTTTTGACACAGTATTTACCCCTGTAAGCCTCAGTGTCAACTGGGTTGAAAGGAGAATTACTAAGGTAATGTAGGCAACGCACTCAGGGAAGTCTGTGGCACAAGGTAAGTACTTGAGATGTTCTTACTTTTCCTATGATAGGTCCTGTTATTGTCCCAGATAGATCTCAGCTACAGAACTTCACATTCCGATTAGGGAAGACTCATAGGTATGATCTGGTGGAAATCTACAGTCATCTGTGATGCTTCCTATGGCAAAAAGTTGCTAGGGGACTCACAGTTGCCATTCTAACTTAAGGAGATGTCTTAATTAATTTCCTCATCACTGGGACATGATCCCTGACACCATTTATTTTAGCTTATGTTTATGGCCCATGTTCAGCTGACTCCAAGGCAAGACAGCACAGCATGGGAGAAGCTACTCATGGCATGACAACAAAGAAGCAGAGAAGGTGAAGGGAGGAGCTAGGGAGGGAGTTTGACCTTTTGCAGCTACTCCCCCAGTGATCTCCTCTTCCCACCAGACTACCTTCTAACAACAAATCAGCTACAGACCTCCTAATCCAATCCCCACCTGTGAGCATGTGAATCTTTTAGGGGACATCTGTATATAAGCTACACAAGGGAAACATGAGGTCTCTGCCTTCCTTCCAACCTCAGCTAGAAGATTCAAGAAAAGGAGTGCATGAGGACATGTTCTAGAGCCACCGCAGTGACTCCAAATGTCTCAAATAGAAGATGGTAGAATGTTCTCATCCTCTCTGTGGCTATTCCATGTGACCGAGTAGGATGTACAAGAAGGATGGCAACCAGAATCATATGGTCCCCATGAAAGAGGGAACAGTAGAATAAGAGGCTCAGGATCAACTCCAGCTTGATCCTTGGATGCTTTCTTTCTACATGAATGATATAGAAAGAAGCCCAAGATCCAATCCAGCCTCTCTAACTTAAGAGATGCTTTTGAACTTGAGGCCTCATTGCCCTCCCATGTCTAGCTGAGCAATACCAGTCTGAATGTAAGCATTTACTGGGAGTTTTGAAGGGCCAGCTGATGGCCCAGTGTGGCTTGAGCCCTCATGTGACAATCGCCTATACAGAACACACTTGGCTTTATCTCTCCCCCCCATTGAGTCCACCATGGGGGCCTTAGAATAAACCTCTTGAGATGTTATGTCACTTGTTTTGTTTCCCAGGTAAACATCACCGTCTTACACTGAGAAAAACCCAGTCACACAATAGGAGAAGTTGTCTTTGGAGGAAGTGGCACTCCTCGAGCTGCCTATGGCCAAGGAGACACTCATCTGATGAACAAAGGGCAGCACCATGAAGCCAGGTGCCAACACTTGATCCAAGACTCCCACTTCCCAAGATTTGTTTCCAATAATGTCTTATATGACATATTCATTCATCTTTTTCTCTACCTTTTCAAGTCTTCTCCATCTATCTTGCTTTCTGTGGCTTCAATGTGTTCAAACAGCTTGTTGTGAAGACTTACTCCCTACCCCAACAGTGTTGAGATGTGGGCATTGAAGAGGAAATGGGTTATGAAAGCATAGCACTCAGCAATGACGAGTGTTCTTGCCTTGGGTGTGGGTTAGTTATCACAGCAGGGGTGTTGGATAAAACAGATGACTTCGGCCCCCTGCCCACTGTGTTTCATGCATGTGCAACTTTGATTTTTCACCTTCCATCCTGGGATGCCACAGGAAAGCACCCACCAGATACCAGGCAGATGTTGGCACTGCCCTCAGACTTGTAGCCTCCAGAACTGTGAGCCAAATTAACTTCTATGCTCTATAAATGATCTAGTCTTGGGTATTTTAGTATAGCAATAGAAAATGAACTGTGATACCACCTTTCTGATAGACTCTAAATAGAATCTGTGGCTTTGTTCTTTGCCTGTGTGGATCTGTGGAGCAGTGGAGTTTAATTAAGTCTCAAGTTTAAGGTATGAAGCTGCCTGCCACTGAAGAGTCTCTGAAGAGAACTGGGAACTTAAACCCATCTGAAATGTCTCCTGCAGACAGGTCAAGTTTACCAAAAGTCACCTCCTTCCTGGCACTCCACTTATTAATTCCAGGCAAGCTAATTGATGTGTTAGTGATAGACAGTGATAGGACATTCCCTGACAGAGCCACCTTCTTAGGAAAATAACCTGACTCGACTCCCTTGATGTAACCCTTTGGGCTCAGGCAAGGTTGAACGCTGCTAAACTCTTTAGGAACTCGTGGCCTCCCAACTTGTTCAGTATGTGCTGTATCTCTGTGGTTACGTCACCTGTCTGTGAGCTCAGTGGGATCTATGAGCCCTCCCCCACCACACACTGTGTCCCAGAAAGGAAGAGTCCAGGGCTGCACAATCCTTTCCACACAAATGGCATCACTGCCATGAGATGAGTGCATATACCCCAGACACTGTAAAGTGAAAAATGTATCCGTGAGGACACCCCTACCCTCCAGCATTTCAGGAATGATGCCTCTTCTATGTACAATTTCATGACACTGTACATTTATCAAGCCATACCTTGTTCATGTAAGCGTCTGCATTTGTTGTTGTTTTTGTATTTTAGGGAAGAGTCTACAGGGTGTTCAGGGTCTCACTACTAGATTGGACTCATGGTGACCCACCTGTTTACAGCCTCCGAAGAACTGGGATTACAGGCACATACCACATGCTTGGTCTCAATTGCCATCTCAGCATGCCCCAGGGGCTGGGCTGGCACGGCAGGCCCAGGAGTTGAACCCCTGGACCCTGTGCCTGCTTGCAGGTGCTTTAATCTGCTGAGCTATTTGGCCAGCCCAGAATCTGCTTGTGGATGTTCAGCAGGGATCGGTGAGGTGATGAATTTCATAGATTCCCTTCTTGGACTCCTTGCGCTCAGTCACAAGTGAATGTGTATGGATTTTGTGGGTTTCACACTTCAGTTCCTCCAGCACCCCAGGTCTGCACCCTTCTCACAGATCTACCTAGAGCATCTATTCCCCAAGGACCTAAAAGACTGCACCCTTCGCTTCTCCAGAGCTTGGTGAAGGCGCTGCTTTCTCCCAGTGCTCCTTTCCCTGGCTACCTTCTCACAACTGCCTCCCCAAGTTCTACCTTTCCTGGCACCTCTTTCCTCTCCTCAGCCCTAGTAGCTGACATCCCTTCTATGCTGCTTATTGATTGGTGTATTCCAGTCTCCTCCAAGAGTGCAAGTCTCCACAGGGATAGAGACTTCTGTCGGTTTCATCACAGCTACAGCCCTCACACTGATCAACATGCAAGTGTCCAAGTGTCCAAAGAGCACTGGGTGGAGAACGGATGCCACTTAGATGACTCCTGTAATGGACACAAGGGACCTGCATGGCAGTCAAAGAAATACTGGGACCTGAATAATCACCATGCACTTGAAAAAACACATCTGCAGAGCAGGACAATGTGGATGAGGGCCTGACTTAGCCCCGGACAAAGCCTAAAGGTCAAGGCTCTTTTGAAATCCTGAGTCACTTTATAGCTACTTTGTGCATGAACTGATATGAGATTTGAAAGAAGAGGGAAGGCAGTATGCGAAGCTGCAAGGCCTTCACTCTTCTATTCCTCCTGCCCTCTGGTGTTCTGGCACTAAGAGATTCTTGGTTTTAGTTTTGATAATGTGGATCTTTTGCTTCCCTCTTCAAGTGGTTGTAAGAAAAAATGAAAACATAAATGTGAATAGTGTTTTCTTAAAAATCAAGTAAGTTGGGATTATGAACTTTTACCTACTGAGCCTAACCTTCCCACTCACATTTTCACTGGGGCTTGGTTTAGGGGGTTTGTTGACTGAGCTTCACTTACTGTGGCCAGGAGGGAGTCCAGGAAGTTGCCAGAAAAGACAGCGCCTGTGGAAAAGGAAGTGCTGAGATGCAGATTCAACCCTGTCAGACTCCTTTCCAGGCCACCTAGCTGCTCGATAAAGTGGATGTTGGAAGGATTCCCTGTAAGACAAAAGAGGACAATGGGAAAGGCAGGCAGACAAGGAGACACAAGTCACCACATGAGGCAGGAGCAGGTGACCGCTGATGGTAGGCTTGGGGGCTACTCTGGACTCAGTAGCATGCTCCCTTCAGTGTCTCCTTTTCCTTTTTCTCTACCCTTCTTGCTACCCTAAAGATGACATGTTCCTCTTGAGCATATTCATTATCGAGTGGATGTGTTGTAGCATACGTCAATTTCTCCAGGTAAGTGTCCTGAAGGCCACCTTTATAGAGTTCTAACTTTTAAGTTAAGATATTTTGGAAGTAATAGGGGAAGCAGGGTGATTCTCCCCCTATTGGCATAGTAGGGAGAGAACTGGCATAAATAGGACAATAGGCATAAATAAAGGACATGGTCACTTTTGTTAGAATCCTATGCCACAGATGAATTGGCATTTACTTAGGTCCCTAGCATTAGCTGGGTGCAGAGTGAGTTAGATCAGTGTCTCTGCAAACTTATTCTGCATGTTAATTCTGACTCAGGAGGTGCAAGGTGGGGCCTGAGAGTTCACAGCCAGGCAAGCAGCAGTGTGGGTGGGATGCTGCAGAAGCTGCTGCTGAGTTAGGGATCAAGCTTTGAGTAAGCAAGGGATTAGAGACTCATTCTCATTGTATCCACTACAGCAGAAGGCAAAGAAAGCATCAGCACGTCCTTACTGGTCCCAGGCACCACTTCAGAGCCCTGCAGGCAGACTCTGAAGTGAACGCAACTGGCCATTACCGGGAAGGAAATCAGAGGCACTGATTGCCTTTGCTCCAGGACTATTGCTTGAAAAATGTCTGTATAGAAAGCCACACTAGAGGACAGAGAGGCTGTCTCTCTCCAGAGCAAAGGGAGGTCATGCTCACTATGCTTACTGACTAGTATAAAAGACTCTAGTTTCCTAAACTCAGGTTCCTTGCCCTTTCAGCAACTCACTGTGGCTGTGGTATAATTTGAACTTTGCATGTCATTCTGCGAGCAGTAGAGTTCGGCCCATTCACGCAGGTGATGATATGCTGTCTGCTACTATAGCTGTCATAAATTTTCAAGTTTTGTGCTTTTCTGTCTCTGACTCCGGGGTCTTGTGTTTGTACCAATACCCATGACACCATGGCAGGGTAATTCTTAGGTTTGCAGGTTGAATGAGTTTAGATCCCTCATAGTTCTCAATATGATAGCTCTTGATATCACAGATCCAATCAAATCCACAGGTCATACAACTCAGAATACATTCTTGACTAAGATTGGATTATTTCTTAATGCCTTAAGTTATTTCTCAGCAAATTGGGGGAAGTGATATACTGGGGTATTAGTGAATCATTTTCTTCTGAGAACAGTAATATTTTTATAAAAGATGAGTAGGGTCTGACTAATACCAAACTGTATCTCCTATACACTCCACCTTCACTCTTCTGACATCCCTGCACACACACACACACACACACACACACACACACACACACACACACACACACCCTGTGAGCCTTTGTTCAGACCCTGCTATGTCATTCTACACCAGCAGCCTCAGCTCTCCCAGCCATTTTCCTGCAGGCCCAGTACATTCTGTCACAAATGCTGACAATCACACATGCACTTCTGAGTCAGGGTGACCCTTTGCAATGGGAAACAGAGTAAGCTGTAGGTGACTTGTTAGGCTAATTGGACAAAGGGCTGTCTGGTACTAGATGACATTTAGCTGAACAAAGTCTGTAAGTCCCTGGAGGTTGACCAGATGCACATCAGGACCAGGAGGAAGCTGGGCCATCTTGTCCTACCCTCTCTAAATTAGAATCTTCCTGTAATTCATGAACTTAAGGTATTACAGCCTGGAAATTAAAAATTATCTAACAGAGGAGATAAAGTAAAATATAAATAAAATCTGCTGTTGATAGTTTCAAGGAGGTAACAGAAAGGCTGGCAGGTACCGGTCAGTACCCAAGGATCTGGGATGCTCAACGCTGATTTTTCCCCTTAATACTGGGGATTGAACCCAGGGTTTTTGCACTGATATTTGTCTCCTGCATTGTATTATTTTTCTGAGACAGGGTCTCAGGAAGTCCTTAAGTTGTCAAACTTGTGATCCTTCTGCCTAAGCTTCCCAGAATTTTGGGGTTAGAGATATAAGCCACAACACCTGTCTTCAAAGCTGATCTTGAGGATTCTTGGTCTCCAGATCTGGGTAACTAGAAGTTTCCAGTTACTGCACTGTCACTCCAGATCCCATGGAGGATAGAGGCTGGTCTCCTTCCGCCTCTCCCTGTTTCATTTCTAGGACTAACAGATCTGTTCCTCTAGTTTAGTGTGAGTCCTCCTGGGATTACATGTCCTAAATCATGAAATGCCCATTAAGCACCCTATAGTAGACAATTAGATCAAATCACAGGCTCAGTTTTAGAGATCAACTTTGAGTTGGTTCAGCCTATTTTAAAGGCACCAGTTTCTTTAGTATTTTGTCTTTCTCCTCAATTCTTCTCAGGAGTGAGTCTCACCGTGTCCCCTGGTGTCCCACCAATGCACCTCCAATGCACATGGCCCCTTCCCTCTCTGTAGTCCTCCTGCCTGCTTTCTGTTCCCAGCATGCCTCATATCTGGAAAGTGAACTCTTGCTCACTTGCAGAAGGTGCTGGCAAGTGATAACAGTTTTATTATTTCCCTGAAAGGTGTTTCCACTTTACAAGTGCATCACTGAGGACTAGGGTTGAGATGATGCAAAGGTGACATCTTGAACATGTGATGTACACAACCCGAGGGTATCTCCCCTCACTATCTGCACACCATATACTTCTGTCTCTCCCTAGTCCTGCCATGGTGTGGCTACTGGAAAGGAAAATGCAGGGCCCAAATCCCCTGAGGATAAATCAGTATAGGAAGAGCTTTCTAGCAGGCTTCCAAAGCACACCCCTCCCTGGGAATCAGATAGAGCAGGCTGCCTGTCTCCTGCCCCTCCTGATACCCAGAGAGTGGGAAAGGCAGATATTATTCCTTTACCCTGACGCCAGATAGAGTGTCTCCACTGGATGATGTCACCAGTTTAGTAAAAGCCCAATGTGACATCTCGCCAAGCACTTAAAGCTCTCTGGACCCCATTCTGGTTCCCTAATCCTTGCCTATGGATTCTAAAAAGAATCTTGGGACATCAATTATGCAGCATAAACATGCTCCCTTGAAACATAACTTACTCAGTTCAGTGAGCATGGAGACTCGGCGGTATTTTGATTTCGCATTGTATTCATTAGAGTCAGGTGGAATTCCTGCTGCAGAAACAGACAACAGAGAAGAAAAGAGACGATTACTGCAAATGAACTGGCCTGCAAACCCGCCCCCAATATCTGAGTGTACCAAGAAACTTGGTGCCTTATCTTAGCAAAGTTACTCTCAGGTCCACATCCCAGATATTTTTCTCTTTTCTTTTCTTTTCTTTTCTTTTCTTTTCTTTTCTTTTCTTTTCTTTTCTTTTCTTTTCTTTTCTTTTCTTTTCTTTTCTTCTTTTCTTTCCTTTCCTTTTCTCTTTCTTTCTTTCTTTCTTTCTTTCTTCTTTCCTCTTTTATTTTTGCGGAACTGGGGATTGAACTCATGCCCTTGTGCTTGCCAGGAAAGCGTTTATTTCACTGAGCCATCTCCCTGGCCCCCCAGATATTTTTCTATAATTAAAAAAAGTCTTTACTAAAGCTGGCCCTTGGTAACTGCAGAGAATTGGCTCCAGTATACCAAAATATTTCCTTTCTTTTCCTCTCCTCTCCTCTCCTCTCCTGTCCTCTCCTCTCCTCTCCTCTCCTCTC